CCGCCCACTGACTCGTTAACGTGACATGTAGTGATGTGAGGTTCTGGCTCCTCAGTTATAAAGTATCAATACAATAAATAAGTATGAAAGATCCAAAACAAAGATCAAAGTAGTGACGAGGCCACGCACTCATCAGTCCGGACTCCCCCTGCTGGCCAACAGAAACAACGCAGGTTTAAGACTTGACTTCTCAGACCGAGAAGCTCGTTCCATCTTTCATGTACAGCTTCTGTGTGGGCACAGCTGTTAACCCACCACAGCTGTTCTTCTAAATCGGTAAACAGGGATGCTTCCTGACCCTCAGAGCCACACAGTCAGCATGAGCAGTTTTTTGGTGATGCCACGAGCTTCAGTTTGCCTGAGCACGGATGTTCGAACCCGCCTCTGATCCTCAGCCGTGACAAAGCTTTGTAAAATAATTTCAGCTCACACTAAGACACCAGCACCACACTGATTTCCACCGACGGGTCTGCTCATGTTACCTTTGTACAGGTTATCATACCGACGTGCTGCATTGTACAGTGTCCTGTATATACTGTGTTCTAAGTGCAATATCGTACTCTGAGTGTATGTAGACTGTGCGAGGCCTTTATTTTCTTACTTCCTGTTGTATTTTTAACTCCTGTTTAGGATATAAAGCACTCGTATTGTGTACGTTGATCAGGTGGTGCGTTCGCTGCGCCTGGTTTGATTTGCATGTGATGTTTTCTTGCTCCTTGTGACAGACCACTCAGTAACGTGTTCAGTGTTTCTCTCTGGCTGCTGATGACTGCACGGTACGGCCAATCGGATGTGACGGCATCGCGCTGCTTGTGGACTTCCAGCTTGGCTGAAAGAACGTGCGACATCATAAATATGCTTCAGGTGACAGTGCAAAGGAATAAAGACCGTTTGATCACTTTGTGACTGCTGAGCTGCTTTTTGTTTGCATTTGAAAATAAAAATGTTCCCAGAGAGCGACGAGAGTTTGTCACTGACTCAGACACGCGTCCACATCAAGTGATATTCAGGTGTTTCAGGGCGAGTGGCCCACACCACCTTTGCTGGTGTGTTATGTAAAAAAGGGGGCTTTAAAGGAAACTTGAACATTTCACTGGGAAAGGAACATAAAGGGGGGTGCCCCCTGCCCCCCCTATATATCTACAACGGCGCCTGCAGAGGTAAGTCTAGATGGTTTACACTGGTTATGACGTTTTTAGCCGTTATCATCATTAAAACCATTATCAGCTGGGTCATGACACATTCTGGGTGATACGGTGAGTTAGTGCAAGAAGTGTGTTAAAAAAATAGATTGTCCCAAATCAGATTATATATTAACTGGTATCTACACACCACTAACATACGAGATAACACACAGGAAGTGCCTCCAGCTGCTGATCGTTGATATGTTTTATGTCCGTGTTTATAATAATAGCCTGTAGTCAGCAGTATAAAAGAAGCAGTTATGTAATAAATGAAAAGTGATTTTAGAAATATCCCTGTGACTCTGCATTATTCTACCTATTC